CTCTGAGTCTAAATGAAACGGTATTTAAGAGATTCAAGATTAGTTGATCTTTTAATTTTAAATTTTTATTTTTTATGTAAAAGAGTACGGTAGGCTTTTAGCATCCCCGACTGTGCAGAGCTCTCAAACTGTTGACTCAAAGTCCCAGACTAAGCCTTCTACAAAACTGTAACATAATTTTTAAAATTTTTTGTTTACCTAAATAAATATATCTTTTTTGTTGTTACTGTTTTATTCTGAAAGTTGAAATTTCAGTCATAAATTTAATGTAAAATTATTTTGTTTGTTTTTTTAAAAGTCAAACTCATTTTTGTAAAACAGTTAGGAGTGCACAGAAAACGTTTGGGATATACAGATAGTTATAATTGATTTATTTTCATGCCATTAAATACTGCTGACTTGACTTTGTGAAATGGATTTTTTTTACCATCCAACTTGATTTCATATGATTCACTTCAGTTGGCATCTTGTTTCCATTTATCAATAATGGGCTGTCGGAATGAAAATGAACAATAATCATGGTAACCTATAAATAATGTAAATACTCATCATGTTTTGTAAAATACCTCATGGCAAGGTCTTTGTTTTATTTAAAATGTTAAGCATACCTTTTATACCATTTAAAAAAATTTTTTTAAGGTTATGAGAAGCATAAATTGTTTTTTTATGTCAACACTGCTCTTTCTATCTTTAGCACAAACAAGTTTCTAGCAATGTCTATTATAATGGGGACTGCATTCTTTCAAAACTCCTTTCAAGCTTGCACACATCGTTCTGTTACTATAGCAATTACCAGTATGACAGAAGGAACTGCAGTCTTTTTATTGTCCTGTATTTTCAATCAATGCCCACTACGTGACATGCCCACTACGTGACATGCCCACTACGTGTCATGCCCACTACGTGACATGAATGTTCACTTGGGTCGTACGCTCAGTCTTTTGTATTTTCTCATTGTAGGATTTTTAGAGAGGATTGTCATTACACTATATTTATACGTCTCCTTGCAGGTACCTATTCACTGAATAAATTTTTTGTCATTAAGGGGGGGGGGGGGGGTGTGTTACTAGTTGAAATGTGTATGGGTAAAAAAAAAGTTTTTTAATGCTGTATGCTTTTATTATTTTATGAAAAAATGGGGTTTGCCAAGAATATTTTTTTTGAGTGCAGGGAGTGCTACAGATAGTGAGTGTAGAAACCACCTGATGGTGAGTGTAGAAACCACCTGATGGTGAGTGTAGAGCCACCTGATGGTGAGTGTAGAAACCACCTGATGGTGAGTGTAGAAACCACCTGATGGTGAGTGTAGAAACCACCTGATGGTGAGTGCAGAAACCACCGCACAAAGTATTTGTTTTGTATCTGGAAGGAGAACACAAATTGTGTCATGGTGTTTTTAATGTCCCAAACAATATTTCTGACGGACACTTTTGACTCAGCCGCCCCTAATTTGCTTTGGCATCAAAGTTTATTATTTGTATGTCCATTATTTTTTTAAAAAAATGTTTTGGGTACTGTCATTGTCAAAATTTGTATGTTATTTTTCAAACTGCCACGCATAATTTTGGCCATATATTTTTATGTGTCTAAAAGATTAGAAAAGTCTTGTTATGACACAAGGTTCTATACAAGTGGTGCCAAACTTATGTATGGGTTTGACCAAGCGGAAGTTTTATTTTATTATGGAGACCCCATTTGACATTGTAAATAATAGTTTTCAGAAAAGTTTCATATTGGTTCACAGCTGACCTATAAAAAGTTTGTAAAAAGAGAGGGAGAGAGAAAACAATCTCAGATTGTGGTTGAGCAAATCTTTCAGGATTTAAATTGATGAACACTGTCAATCAATTTTTTAGTATGTACATTCACTTTGGCTTGTGATGCTGCTGTGTTTTACTGGGTGCCACGAAAACGTTCTTGATGTGGCAAGCCAGAGTTACTTTAGTCAACAGCACCTCATTTACACACACCTGACTTAAAGTGACAGTTCATTTAACTGCAGATTTCATATTATTAGATTTAATGGGATTGGATTTCACTTGGTTTATTTGGCACAAGTTTAATTCAGCGATTACCAAACTCATATGGTCCATGAGCTGATGCGGTGGTGCTAGGTTGTGGGTAGGTTCAGAACCACAACTGCTGTAAACTTGTGTGTGAATTGGAACAACTCTGAAATAGACAGAAAGCTGCATGTGTAATTAAATTGTTTGTGTTCTACTTGACTGTAACACAATAGGGAGCTATATGCGTTTTATTCAAATGTTTTAACAGTGCTGTGTTCAGATAGCTCAAGCTTGCTTTAAATCATGGAATGCCTCATCTCCAACTAGAGACCGTCCGAATGTGATTTTTCTGGTTTTGGCTGTAACTGAAATCCAACCAAAAGCTAGAAATGCCTTAGAGTGCCAAAACCAAAAGCTGAAACAGATTTTTGGCCGAAACCGACAAATTTAGATGATTTAAAACTCGTTTGCGCATGCCTTTTGTGCACACTCAAAACATGATGGGGGAAAGTATTGATACTGGTATTAATATTCTTTTTTTTAATAAAAAAATGAGATTGTGAATTTTAATAGTGAAACATGTAATGATTACTTTGGCTTTTACCATTTGCATTAAAAAGTAATTTAAAGTTGTTAAAAATGTATTTTAATGTAGTGTGGTAATTGAACATTTTTTCTTTTGGAGCGGGGATGGGGCAAAATTCATGCAAAATAGACCCTTGGGCGCCCTTTGCATTAAAATTTATAATATAATTACAATTACAATGCTACCTAGACATATTTGGTAACGATCAAAATCTTAGTCTTTCTATTGATAATTGGTATGGCCCACTAAAATGTCCATAAAGTAAGCCTTGAAGGAACTCTTTGTTCCGCTAACCCAAACTCTTAATTCTTATTGGTTCACATTAAAATTTTTTGGTTTTCCGCAATTATCATTTATTGGCTAATTTTTTTATTAGACCCAGATTAAACAAAAGTTGAATGAATGTTGAGACACATTGAGTACGGTATGATAACACTTTAGGCGTACTAAATAATGATTATACGAGACAGTGATACATGCACACGTGTGTGTGTGGGCTTATGATTTCAATTAAAGTCTTTCTAATACAAAATGGAAATAAGTAGTTATATTTTTTAATGTTACTGAAGGTTTCATTATTCTCTTCCTTAACATTTGTGTCTATAAGAGTGTCTAGTTTTGTGGGATATTTTAACATTTTATTTCATCGATGACAACGTTTATCAGCATGATGATGATGAATGTCATTGAATGAATGAATTGAATAATCCTAAGGTTCCCTAATTTTTTGTATATTTAAAAAAATTTAAAACTAAAATAATAATGTAAAATGTTTAGACCCTAATGATTTTTTTTCTCCACAACACAATATTCCTTTTCCTGTGACAACATTTAATCTATGATAATGATAGATCAAAATGAATGAATTGAATAAACATAGGGTTCCCAAATTTTAATTTTGAAAAAATAAAAAAAAATAATATAAATATTACCATTCCCTTGGTTTTTGGGGTTTTTTTCTATCCACAAAACTATTTACCTTTGCCTAAGTCTAATTGTAATTTTATATTTGGAAATATTTGGACAAGCAGATCATGCAGCTGTGAGCAGGGTTTGCTGAGGATTAATCGTATATCATATGATGACAGCGAGACGTATAGCAATAATGAATACCAGGCATCGGATTGCCAGCCGGACAGAATGACAGTCTGACTTTTGGTAGCCGGCCAAAACCGAAATTTAATTTTACACTTTCAGCTGAAACTGCGCCACAAGTGGTCAAATGGCAACTTTTGTTGCCGACACCAAAATTCAGTCGGCGTCTATCTCCATCAAGTCATGCCTATATCTCCAATATCAATAAATCAAGATTTGGTTTAAATCAGACTGACATTTGTAACTATAAAAACAGTAGGCTATTATTTGTTATTGATGGCATCACACAACAAAAGATGGCTTCTTTGTAACCAGATTCAAGTTGGATGTTTCAAGCGTACATGCGTAGTCAAATCAATTAATTTGAATTTATAAGTTACAGTGAAATAATGATTTTGTGCAGCCACAACTCAAGTCTAATACTAGAATGAAATTATGAATTTGTGAAATTACAACTAAAACCTGGGATGAAATGTATACAAATTTAAAATGTGAAATTTGGTACCCAATCATTGATCATAAGGCAATAGCATCAAACTTCCATTATTCAAATGTTGGCACCCAATCATTGATCATCAGGCAATAGCATCTATCTTCTATTATTCAAATGTTGGTACCCAATCATTGATAAATCAGGCAATAGCATCTACCTTCTATTATTCAAATTTTGGTACCCAATCATTGATCATCAGACAATAGCATCTATCTTCCATTATTCAAATGTTGGCACCCAATCATTGATCATCAGGCAATAGCATCTATCTTCCATTATTCAAAGGTAAAAATGAAGCATATATGTGTATGACTAGTTTATGTGACTGGTGTCTTAAGCTTCTAGACAATTTTTATGTGAATAGCCATCAGATGGCCAGAAATCTCACAATTTACTTGGGAATAGCCATCAGATGGCCAGAAATCTTACAATTTATAAGTGAATAGCCATCAGATGGCCAGAAACCTCACAATTTATAATGTGAATAGCCATCAGATGGCCAGAAATCTCACAATTTATAATGTGAATAGCCATCAGATGGCCAGAAACCTCACAATTTATAATGTGAATAGCCATCAGATGGCCAGAAATCTCACAATTTATAATGTGAATAGCCATCAGATGGCCAGAAACCTCACAATTTATATGTGAATAATCCACCAGATGGCCAGAAACCTCACAATTTATAATGTGAATAGCCATCAGATGGCCAGAAACCTCACAATTTATATGTGAATAGCCATCAGATGGCCAGAAACCTCACAATTTATATGTGAATAGCCATCAGATGGCCAGAAACCTCACAATTTATAATGTGAATAGCCATCAGATGGCCAGAAATCTCACAATTTATAATGTGAATAGCCATCAGATGGCCAGAAATCTTAACAATACAATCCGTGTATTTAATTATTATGACAGTTGGGTGGTGCCCCAACCAAATTACAATCATTAACACTACAGGATCAAGACGTTTAAATTAGGCACATTCACTGCTTGTAAAAATAATGTAAATATATCTCTAAAAACACACCCCCTTCTTATATACAGAGTGTACATAGTGTAAACATATAGATACACTCCCTTCGTGCTCACCAATTCTGGTTTTCAACATTAAATCAAGCATGCACGGTCCTCAAGTACTGGCAGTCTTTGAACTCCTCCCACCAAGCTGTCAGTTCACGGTCCTCTGACCCGAGCTCTCTTAAACTTTCGAGTTTGGCTTTGGCCAATTTGTGGCTGGAGATAGACCACGCCCACTCCTCGGCCCTGGCCTTTCGCCTCTCCAGCTCCGACTTCCCGAACTCATCCTCCCTGACGGCCGCACCAGGGGCGGGCATCTTCTCACGAGGCCGCCTGTCGTCCAGGTTCATGCGGCTAGGTTTACGGTAGGAGCCCGCAGACCTGACGACCGGTTCTTTTTGCCTGTTGACCTGTTCGGAGCGTGGTCTCAACGTTTTGGCGGCCAGCACTAGAACATCGTCGCATCCTCGACGTGCGACGCCTCCCTGGTGACGAAGTGCGTAAACTTGACCCAGTTTAATTAACCTTGTGTTGGCGGGGGACTCTCGTTTCAAGGACTCCTGGTATTTGAGGAACTCCTGACGGTTCTCTTTGACATACTCAAGATATTCGGTCAGCGGCGTGCACGCCACCCCACCTGACTTGGCACTTTGGGGTTTACGCTTTTGGAATATGGGTGTCGGACTTTTGAAAACCTCCGACTCTCCCACGTGGAAGACTTCTTTACTGCCGTTTGCAGTGATGTCGTCGCTGTCGGTGGCTGGTGTGCCCGTCGCTTCCTTCGAAGCATTCACATCGTTACTTCTTTCTAACGATGTTCTGGTTTTGCTTTCTTCTAAACAAGTCGAGATTTGCTGAGATCCGATTTCTGGGGTATGGTCGGCCACTTTTAGAAAGGACTGAGCCGATTCTCCGGCTTGATAGTCCAGCTGTGTTTTTCTTTGGCCAGGTTTTGATCTTATTGGCGAGTCGGTCACCGGGAGCTCGACCTCTTTCAGAGCCTTATCGTGGCAGCTGAAGAAACTTTTCCTTGGCAATGCCTGTCTCAGTTCTCGGCGCGAGAAAGGCCTGTCGTAGATCGAGATGAACGGCTTGTGCTGCCCCGGGCCCGGAAGTGAATTTTGGCGAGACAATGGTCCCCGAGGGGGCGTCGCCCTGGCGTAAGCGTTATACACATCTTGGTTGATGTGAAGGGCTGTGGCACTGAGATGACGAACGTCACACGGAACTCTGGCGCTGGACTTCAAACTGCTGGTTTTTGGTCGAGGTTTTTTCGAAACCGAAAGCGAACATGGAACGCACGATGCTGCTCTGATCATTTTATTAGTCACCTGATTCTTCTTGCCAAGAGTTGAACTGGTTACATCAGCTCCCGGCGTTTTCGTTGGTGATGGAGTTGTGACTACAGCTAAGCTGAACTGTTGTGCAATATTTATATTTTGGGAAACATCTTCATTCCCGTTTTGTTCTTTTTTGTCCAGCAATTGTGAATCCATATCCTTCTGACCTAAATCGAATGTGTCACCCATTAATGATTTCACTGACTGCCCTTGCTTACAATTTGTGCCGTCGACCTCAAAACCATTCCCTTTGATGGCATCGTCGCGAAGTTCTCCGTCTTTCTTGATGGTTATGTCCGGTTCAGTATCTTGATGGTTGGTGTTTTGTGTTCGCTTTCGTTTACCACCGTCTTCTCTGCTGCCCACACGACTCGGACCATGGTCTTCTCTGCTGCCCACACGACTCGGTGGCCTAGGCATAACTTTGATCTGAGTTATGTGGATTGATGTCAGACTCGGCGTGCCTCTAAGGATCTGGGGTTTATTCACGGAGCCGGCTCCCCTTACATTAGCTAAAGCATCTGTGACTACCCACTTGGTCTCATCAGTTCCAACAGACGGTTCATGTAGCTGGTCATGGGATGGTGGTACATTCAAATGGTCATGGGATGGATGTACATATAAGTCTGGATCACGACCGTGTCCAGTGGGGTGCTCATAAATGTGGATTTCACCGTTATTTCGCGGGCCGTCGTCGTGAAACGTTTGAGAACCTTCACTTTCAAATGACTCGATAGTTTCTGTTCTTTCGGCTTCGTCTCCCCCAGTGACTGTATTCAGCAACATTTTCTGACCCCCAGCGTGGTCCGGCACACCTTCTATGTTTGTGTTCGTTGCTTGATCTCTTACATTGAACGTCTCTTGCACACCCTCTCTGTTGACGTTGCCAAAACCAATGTATTCTTTATACGTCCTGTAAACGTTTCTGTGGTCGCTGACATCTTCCATCAAGTTAGCTGTACCGCGACTCCTATGTCCGTGATGCGGTGCAGAGTTTGAATGCGATCCCCCAAAATTGCACACTCCAAGGTTACCGCCGGCAGGTTTAGCATCTCCGTTGCTCGTCTCTAAACGTGACCCGAAGTAGACAGACGTTGTGGGGCCAGATGTGATGGAACCGTTAATTCTGCTGGCCCTGTCACCTACTTCCCGTACAAAGGTTGGGTTGCCCTCTGTGACACTGTCGACGCCTGCTACCACAAAGTCGGCCATCTTACTTTCCCGAACGATTTGCGGCTGGAATGATAAATGTAAATGAACAAGTAGAAGTTATCTCAGAGAGTGAAATATTATAATTTTTTGAGGGGTGAGAAAATGTAACGCTATATTTCACGCATGGAAACGATTTAGGCGCGTGTGGGAGATGGCTTGGTGACGTAAGTAGGGTGCCGCCACCCTCGCTTTCCCCACCGACATTTTGACGGACAGCTCAGCGAATACGACACCGCGGTAGACCCAAAGGAACTGGCACAGAACAACTACATGGAGAGAGATTTGGGGGGTGGGGGGTGGTGGTGTCAAAACCTGAACTTGTACGGGAAAAACTCCACAAAACTAACATAGTGTGCTTCTTGGCATTGGTCTTAATCACCTTCCGGAGAGGGAGGAATCAACAATTGAATCTATTGTTTCCATTGAAATGATGCGACGGAAATGGTGGAGACTTATAGTTTAATTTTTCAATTAGAAAGTCCAACCCATGACATCTGCTACATGTCTATAGTTTTATATTGTCTGATATTCACTTTAACTTGTCATCTAACCCTAACCCAACCATCTACTCTTACATTCAGAAACCAACCATCTACCATTACCCTCAGAACCCAACCATCTACCCTTACTCTCACAACCCAACCATCTACTCTTACCTTCAGAACCCAACCATCTACTCTTACCTTCAAAACCAAACCATCTACTCTTACCTTCAGAACCCGACTATCTATTCTTACATTCAGAACCCAACCATCAACTCTTAACTTTAGAACCCAACCATCTACTTTTACCTTTACAACCCAACCATCTACTCTTACCTTCAGAACCCGACCATCGACTCTTACCTTTACAACCCAACCATCTACTCTTACCTTCACAACCAAACCATCTACTCTTACCTTCACAACCCAACCATCTACTGTTACCTTCAGAAACCAACCATCTACTCTTACCTTCACAACCAAACCATCTACTCTTACCTTCACAACCCAACCATCTACTCTTACCCTCACAACCCAATCATCTACTCTTACCTCCAGAACCCAACCATCTACTCTTACCTTCAGAACCCGACCATCTACTCTTACGTTGACAACCCAACCATCTACTTTTACTTCACAACCCAACCATCTACTTTTTACCTTCACAACCCAACCATCTACTCTTACATTTACAACCCAACCATCTACTTTTACCTTCACAACCCAAACATCTACTTTTATCATCATAACCGTTATAACCCAAGCCCAAAAAACCTAATACTTTCAATAAATACGGTACATCCATCAGAAGTACGTATCCTGAAATTCGCCTCATTTAAATCGGGGCTCGGTTTAAAAACCAAACAAAGAGCAACTGAAATGACAAGAGCAGACGATAAAGCTCAACCAATGACGACGGGTATTGATTGGCACGAGGTTCACGAGATCGCTAAATAAAAACACGAAGAGCGCTTCTCGGTCCTGTTCGCCATTTCAATGTTCACCTAACGGGCCGGAACTGGAAGAAAAAAAAAAATTCTTTTGGGCCTAAAGTTGGGTGGTGCTATAAAACGGGACGAGGGAGAGAGAGCGATGTGGGTAGAGTTCAGTTGTTTAAACTTTGCCATAGCTCAAAGCAGGGGTTTGGAGACATAGAACAAAGCGGGGGTTTGGAGACATTGTACAAAGCAGGGGTTTGGATACATAGCTCAAAGCAGGGGTTTGGAGACAGAACAAAGCAGGGGTTTGGAGACATAGCTCAAAGCAGGGGTTTGGAGACATAGCACAAAGCAGGGGTTTGGAGACAGAACACAGCAGGGGTTTGGAGACATTGTACAAAGCAGGGGTTTGGAGACATAGCACAAAGCAGAGGTTCGGAGACAGAACAAAGCAGGGGATTGGAGATATAGCACAAAGCAGGGGATTGTAGACATAGCACAAAGCAGGGGATTGGAGACATAGCACAAAGCAGGGGATTGGAGACATAGCACAAAGCAGGGGATTGGAGACATAGCACAAAGCAGGGGATTGGAGACATAGCACAAAGCAGGGGATTGGAGACATAGCACAAAGCAGGGGATTGGAGACATAGCACAAAGCAGGGGATTGGAGACATAGCACAAAGCAGGGGATTGGAGACATAGCACAAAGCAGGGGATTGGAGACATAGCACAAAGCAGGGGATTGGAGACATAGCACAAAGCAGGGGATTGGAGACATAGCACAAAGCAGGGGATTGGAGACATAGCACAAAGCAGGGGATTGGAGACATAGCACAAAGCAGGGGATTGGAGACATAGCACAAAGCAGGGGATTGGAGACATAGCACAAAGCAGGGGATTGGAGACATAGCACAAAGCAGGGGATTGGAGACATAGCACAAAGCAGGGGATTGGAGACATAGCACAAAGCAGGGGATTGGAGACATAGCACAAAGCAGGGGATTGGAGACATAGCACAAAGCAGGGGATTGGAGACATAGCACAAAGCAGGGGATTGGAGACATAGCACAAAGCAGGGGATTGGAGACATAGCACAAAGCAGGGGGTTGGAGACATAGCACAAAGCAGGGGATTGGAGACATAGCACAAAGCAGGGGATTGGAGACATAGCACAAAGCAGGGGATTGGAGACATAGTACAAAGCAGGGGGTTGGAGACATAGCACAAAGCAGGGGATTGGAGACATAGCACAAAGCAGGGGATTGGTGACATAGCACAAAGCAGGGGATTGGAGACATAGCACAAAGCAGGGGATTGGAGACATAGTACAAAGCAGGGGATTGGAGACATAGCACAAAGCAGGGGATTGGAGACAGAACAAAGCAGGGGGTTGGAGACATAGCACAAAGCAGGGGATTGGAGACATAGCACAAAGCAGGGGATTGGAGACATAGCACAAAGCAGGGGATTGGAGACATAGCACAAAGCAGGGGGTTGGAGACATAGCACAAAGCAGGGGGTTGACATTACGTGGGACAAACGAAAACACCCATGACAATATCTATGGACACGATACTTAAGAAATGATAAATGAACCATTCCAGCACGGAGGGACTCACAGAGGTTTAATGAGGCCTGGGGTCTTTTGCCCTTTGAGCCCCTCTTCGGGACTCATAATAAACACCTAACGATGAATGGCGTATATGTTCCCAGTCCATGATTTTCGTAGAAAATTATTTTTTTCCACGATATACATGTCTATGCCTGCAACATCCCTGAACAGTTATGTTTAAAGAAATGTCCTCACCTGAGACATCTGAAAAGTTATGTTCCAAGTTTGCCGCGCTAACAGGCTGTACTATCCTTTCATAAAGATACTGTACTTTTATATTTGTATTCGCCTTTAAAAAGGTTTTAATTGGAACATTCCCCCGGTGTTGTAATCGGAGAGTTTATCAGTGACATTCGTTTTAAGGATAAGCCTCAAATGGCCGAACAAATCCCTGGTGTTAATCTTCAGAACAGCAATGTTTTCACAACACCGATTAGAAGCACCACATTATTGGATTTAGGCAGCGGGCTCAGAATCAATACACACAGTGCAGAGGCGTAGCGATGGGGGGGGGGCAGGGGGGACAGATGTCCCCACGCGCAAGCTAGTTAGGGGCGCCAAAATGTGATTTGATATTATATTATTGGTAAAAATAATGGGTTTGAGAGTGGGAAAAAAGAAAAGGGGGCGCGTTAAAATGGATCTTGTCCCCGGGCGCGAATCTTGTCTCCGGGCGTCAAACGCCCTCGCTACGCCACTGACAAAGTGTGGACTTGTCTAACGATACCATTACAGTTGAGACGTCACTGGAAACAAGGACATCGGAAACCATTTGGAAATTTGGAGATGGCTGATGTCTTATGACATGATCGGAAACAATGTCGGACTCCGTCATGACGCCGTTGACTATAGTCCAAGATTATGAATGGCGCCATCATGACGATTGATATTTAACATCCATTATAAAATATTGAAGAATGACGCCATCTCCCGATTAAACAAAAAATATCTATAAAAATCCAGGGTCTAAAAAGTATGTACCGGTAGCATGGATAATTTAAATTGAAGACATGTTAATTCAATTTAAAACATGTTAACACAATTAAAATTTAAGACATTCTAACACAATCTAAGACATGCAAACACAATTGAAGACATGCTAACACAATTTAAGACATGTTATCACACTTTAGGACATGTTGTCACAATTTAAGACATGTTATCACAATTTAAGACATGCTAACACAATTTTAGACATGTTATCACAATTTAAGGCATGCTAACACACTTTAAGAAATGTTATCACAATTTAAGACATGCTAACACAATTTAAGACATGTTATCACAATTTAAGGCATGCTAACACAATTTAAGAAATGTTACCACAATTTAAGACATGCTAACGCAATTTAAATTATCCTAACACATTTGAAGACATGTTAGCATAATTCGCAGTGAGTGAATCCACAGATCTCAGGCTTACAACGACTACAAAGTAAGAAACAAAGATGTACTTTAAAAAAACACTTTACTTTAGCATACTTCTACCAAAATAATTTTTAAAAAAATATCATTTTGTTTATGCCGTGGGAAAAGTTTCACTTTGTCACCCACACACACATGATTAAATTGCCTTTTTTTAAAAAAAAGTTATTAAAACAATCACCTAAAATTACTAGTGATTTTTGGTACAATTTGGGGTGGGGTGGGGGAACAACTTATATACAATTTTAACGATAATAAAAATGTCCTTAATAATTTAGCAACTTACTTAAATGGCTCTGCTTCATCAAAGGTTCGATCGTTATCCCCTAACCCAGCCCTCTACCTGCAGCTCGCGGTTTGAATACTCTCTAAGCTTGCCCGTGAACCGCTGTTACGACGTAAATGAGACAACAAAAAACCCACGTGATCCAGAACAGTCGGCTCACCGGGTCGTGTGACAAGGGGGAGCTGTCAATCACGGCTGTTCCCTGAGAGTGTACACGACACCTAGCTAATATCCTCATGTCTTACGGAGAACTGCCCGTCACTGTGAGGAATTCTAATTAAGACTGCGGCCTAGATGTATGATATACGGTGACTATTAAATATTCTCAACTGGACTATGGTCAAGAGCAGATATTTCCTATCCATTCCCGACGACCATTGACGTGCCGCCACCGTTAGGAAGAGTGCCGCCACCGATAGGAAGAGTGCCGCCACCGGTAGGAAGAGTGCCGCCACCGATATGAATAGTGCCACCACCGATAGGAAGAGTGCCACCACCGATAGGGAGAGCGCCGGCACCGATAGGAAGAGTGCCGCCACCGATAGGGAGGGCGTTGCATGATTCTGTTAAATTTTTTATGCGGTGCAAAATTCGTTTTTTTTTTGGGTCTTTTTTTCAACGTGGCTTTGTTGCAGTTACCGTTGGGGACAGATGCCCCCAGCGGGGCTTCCCTTATAGTCTTCGATGGAGTAACTAAATTCAGGCCGGTGATGTGCGCATAGCGTTCCAAATTTGAGGGCTGACTTTATAAGGTCGCTTATATCTATATATTTATCTCGTTATCTATAGTCATTTGTATTAAGTACAGTCGTCTCCCGCCACTTCGATCTTCGCGGCTTCACTCTATCACGTTTTTTCTTTCTTTCAAATGTAACATGTAATCATTAAAAAAATTTGATCGAGATAGTGAAAATGATACAGAGCACGCTTTGAGTCAATTATACACCCTTGTATTAGTATATTACTATTAAAATTACTGTACTTATGGACTGTAGGCCTATGTATTCGAGCATCCCCAGGGGGATAAATAATGTTGAAAAGCGTATTTAGAGGGCTGTGAATAGGTTTTCTACTCTACTACGAACATGTAGGATGTAATCAAAGAAAGAATCTTACTTCGCGGAAATTCATTTAGCGCGGTAGAGTCTGGAGCGGATGGATCGCAATAAACAAGGGGCGACTTTTTTGTGTTAATTTAATTGTAAGTTCCATTGCTATATTGGACCCATACCACGAATCACATATGAACACCAAACATCCCGTACTAGGTCCAGAGGCGTAGCGGGGGTGTTTGGCGCCCGGGGACAAGATTCGTGCCCGGGGACAAGATCCATTTTAAAGCACTCATTTTTCTTTTTTTCAGCTCTCAAACCCATTATTTTTACCAATAATATAACATCAAAGCACATTTTGGCGCCCCTTACTAGCTTGCGCCCGGGGACATCTGTCCCCCCTGCCCCCCACTCGCTACGCCTCTGACTAGGTCTCGATGCCATTAGCCTTAGCATGGGGTTAAATGTGTGCATTCATAATCCAAGGCTACCCTTTTCAATGGGGTTCTCAAACGTATAATCAACGGGTCGCATTAAAGCGAGCTAATCACCGTTTTCCTTCGGCCAGCGAAGTGATGGATGAGACAAATGAGAATAGGAGGGTTAAGAATCAATTAAGATACTAATGGTGAATCTTGGTGTTTTGTAGTCATTTGACATCCAAAAAGACTCAACCAGTTTCTCTAGATTTTATTGATCTCATATCGAAATTGCTCTTAATCTTATATATTTTTTATATTATTATTATTTTATTAAAGTCATTTTTAGACACTTTAGGTGAATATTACAAAACCTGGACAATCATCGCACTACTGCGACTCCAATGAAATGCCCTCCAAACCATGCCCTTAACATTCAAACTTTTATTCCGCCTCTCCCCCACCCGCATCTCCCCCCCCCCCCCCCACCCCGGTTTACTCGTTTTGAAATTCAAGAGCATTTATTTATAGTTCATATCAAGCCAGACACATTTACTCTTGTCCCACGGATATTCTTCCTGCATCAACTTAAGAAAATACAGGAAGTTGCCCCACCCGTATACATTGGGGTGGGGGGGGGAGGGGGTGAAGTTCCGTTCCGTCTTAAGGCATTGCCCTAGTGGGGACTGGCCCAGGACCTCACGCTTCAAGGGACCTCGCGCTTCTAGGGGACCTCACGCTTCCAGGGGACTCACTCTTTTAGAGGCATTATGCTTTACTTATATTTTTAATGAATATTGAACGATCTTGGCAATTTAATTTGATTTATAAGTCAGTGAACAGTTTGTCAATTTTAACCCACGATATTATCGGCACATTCAAAAATAAATATTATAAATTATAAATGCGAATCACAAGTTGGATGTTACTTCTTAAAGGGGAATTACTCTCGTCAACACGTATTACTTTTTGCCAGATGTGAATCGAAAAAAATAAAGAATTTCTGTTAAAAATCATGTTAGATTAAGGTGTTAGTCCTGGTAGGTAATAATTAAGGTGTTAGTCCTGATAGGTAATAACACTAGCTACGCCAATGCTCCGTACTCAGTAGTGAAATTAGTGGAGAAAAGCAGTGCCGCCTTAAGGCATGGGCACACATGACACAGCGCACTTGCCCAGGTTTTCACGCCTCTTGGTGGCCTCATGCTGGAGGGGGCCTCAAGCCTCTAGAGGGCATTACTCCTCTAGGGCACCTCACGCTTCTAAGGGCATTATGCTGCCAATATTTTCAGTGAATATAAAAATATTTTTGGCGATTTATTTAGCTTTCAAAATTAAAGCGGCAAGACCGTTTTTCCAGTTTATTTGAACAAGTTTTTCGATCGTAATATCAATTCAATTTTTGTATGGACACTAGATTAGGATTAGAAAGTTTATTTTCATAAATGAACATTTTTAAAATTAAAAAAAAATCCATTAAGTATTTTCTTGATGGAGGAATCAATCAATAAGTCTTACAAAAGGCACCAAACGTTCATTGTTTAATAGGTTAAATGAAGAAACTTCAACTTAAAGTAGTTAGAAGTTACAAATAAACTTTTTAATTTTAAGGAACTGTATTTGTTTGGAAATTCATGCTGTCTCATTTACCCTAAGATAAGTCAGATATTAATAAATATATGACGTCTTTTGTAAATATTTCATTTCCTCTTTTTTTAATACCACTTATGAGCAATTTTTTTTAATGACCTGTTTTAAATAGCCATGTAAAATCTATAGACCTTTTCTACAAAACATTATTTTTTTCTCATTTTTTTTGTAGCTTAAAATTTTGGGAAAACCTACTTAAGTTTTAAATTAAATCCAAAATGATAATTATTAAACTAAAATACTAATACATGTACGATGTTTCCCAACGTGGGGCCCCTGCCCCACACTGGGGAGGGGGGGGGTCGATTCGGGTGTTTATGGGGGCAATTCGAAAATGAGCTGTCTAGAATTTGTAAACCAACCGTCTGTTATGATTTAATTTGTATTCTAAAAGGAGAATTGTTAAATTCTCAATTTCATATGAGTTCTTTAAAATTTGCTTACATTGTTTCCTCACCAATTTCCTAGTGATTTTATTCCTAAAACCTATAATTTAAGTTTCTTCAGTGAACAGTCCCATTTTGTAATATTTAAAATTATGTATATGATAAATAGGGGGGGGGCATACGATGTTAGAAAGACTTAGGTGGGTCATATCACAAAAAAGTTTTGGGAAACACTGTACTAATATGTTGTTTGTCCTTTACAAAAATTAACTAATAATTGTTTTGAATCGAATTTTTTAAATTTTCTTATATTCATTGATTTGTGGATTAGTTTAAACAAATACATAGTTTTAAATGAAAATTATGAAACAGCATTACTATTTAGATACAACTAAAAAACAAAAAGGAATTTTGTAACCCATGCATGGTCATGGGAACCTTAATTTCAATTATCATCTTTTCTGTTGCTAGCCGATTAATTGTAGAATGATTGAAAGCTACATTCATCCATGCACCAAAATGGATTATATCATTTTGAATTAATTAAAAAATTTGTGGGGGAGGGGGTTACTGAGACCTCTCGCCAAACTTTACCCCCAGTTTCGTTCGGCGCCCTCGATCTCTTCTCCCTCCCTAATTAAAGTGACAGTACAGTCACATTTCAATATCAAAAGAAAGCCTGGATGTAAGTCAATACAAACATATTTTTGAACGGACAAAATTATGATTTCCCCTCTAGTTTGGAATATGTAGTTGGACTATACAGATTCTAGGGACTAAACTAAAGTGGGGCGAAAAGCATACCTTCAGGGGGCCCCACTACCAGAATGAATGGTTATGCATTGTGGTGGCGACGAAGTCAGAGCTGACCCTGGGCATAAAAATTTCCAATTTTGCTGCTGATAGATGCACTGCCCCCCCCCACCCGAACGTCTGACATACTACCCCCACACCCCCGCGGAAAAATTACCTGACAGAAACTGGGCAAAATGTGTCAATATCCCCCATCCCTTTACCCTCCCGAATACTTTCTACCACTGGCCTCATTCCTGTTTACTCCTGATAAATCCACGCTTGCATTGATCCGATAAAACCACCCTTGTATTGATCCGATAAATCCACCCTTGCATTGATCCGATAAATCCACCCTTGCATCGATCCGATAAATCCACCCGTGCATTGATCCGATAAATCCACCCTTGCATCGATCCGATAAATCCACCCTTGCATTGATCCGATAAATCCACCCTTGCATCGATCCGATAAATCCACCCGTGCATTGATCCGATCAATCCACCCTTGCATTGATCCGTTAAATCCTCGATACATCCACCCTTGCATCGACCCGATAAATCCACCCTTGCATTGATCCGATAAATCCACCCTTGCATCGATCCGATAAATCCACCCGTGCATTGATCCGATAAATCCACCCTTGCATCGATCCGATAAATCCACCCGTGCATCGATCCGATAAATCCACCCTTGCATTGATCCGATAAATCCACCCGTACATTGATCCGATAAATCCACCCTTGCATTTATCCTGATAAATCCACTCTTGCATCGATC